GGGTTGCGGGGGTTTGGTGGGGGAGCTGCCACTTCCCCACCACCCGCCCCGCGCCTGCAGCCTCTTCATCAGCCAGTGCATAGGCAACCCAATGTACTGGCATGTCTTAGCCTGGACACCCGGTACATGCCATGCCATGTATGCGCCAATTTATCTTTGGCAGAAATATTAATATTGTAAGTGCACCGGGTTTATCTTTGAATATGCTGCAGTCTGCAGATTTGAATACTCTTTACGCCCCTAAGGGGCCTGCTATGGCCCCAGCGGCCCTAGTTAGTATGCAATCCCGCAACAATGGAGGGTATTTAAAGCTACACTCGGTACATGAGTTCATGAAGGTCTTCCTATAACGTGTTAATCGTGTTTTTCTTGCAGTTGTATCCCGTGGCGTACGCCCTCATGACGCGCCACACCACGGACGCGCACGAGGCAGTCCTCAGATGTGTGGCTCGACACGTGGACGGGATGCAAGACCCAGCCTGGTTGATGGCAGACTTCGAGCCAGCACTTCGCGGTGCATTCCGTCGTGTGTGGCCGGGAGTGCATGTGTCAGGATGCTGGTTTCACTTTGGCCAGGTTAGTATCCGTTGGGTAGTTCACTTTAGAACATCCCCCTCCCCCTCTCTCCGCTCGCGGCCGGTGCTCCACTTCCACTCCCTGCGCCTGCTGGTTAAAACGTGACAATTTTGAGTGAAAGCTGAACGTCAGTCCAGTCATATGTATGAAAAGGTTTATGCTTTCACAATAGTACTAACAATTTTTTCCGTCTCTTAAAGGCCGTTCTCGATCGTGCAGTAGATTTTTGCCACATGAAGCCTCTGCTGCAGGAAAACGCGGAGGCTGGTAGGGCGCAGAAGATGCTAATGACGCTACCCCTCTTGCCCATGGCTTTGATCGTGGCAGGCCTCGATTACATCGAGGGCCATGTGGCAAGGCATGAGCTCACGGCTCATTTTGCACCCATTCTCCAGTACATGAGGACGTACTGGATTAATGAGGTAGGGGTAGCGATTCTAGCAGTTGGCGACCTCTACCACCGCACCAACAATGGTGTCGAGAGTTTTCATAAAATTCTTAACACCTCTGTTGGTGTGCACCCGAGTTTTTGGAGATTTTTCGGTAAGGATACTTCGATTGTCTAACTCCAGGGTTGGCCATGAAACTTTGAACACTTTAAATTGTTCAAATCTACTGTTGAACACTTGTAAGTATTCAAATATCCAGGCCAACACCAAAGCGTGTGCACTATGTAATGTAGGGTTGAACACAACCATATGCATGCCAGCTGCACACTTCTCTTTTCATGAGCTAATAATGACTATTTATTAAACGTTATATTTTTCTAAAATTACTACTTTTTTGCTAAAAGTTTCTTTTCGTTTGCAGATGCTTTGAGAAGAGTTGACGCCGCACGTGCGGTGCGAGGGATCAAGGGCAGGCAGGTGCGTCTGACAGGTAGGCAAATTGAGCCACAAAACCCCTGAATGTAGGCAACTTGCGCTACACCGCCCCCCCCTGTCGGCCGCCCCTTACTACGCCCCTGAGGGCAGGTCCACAATTTCGTCCAGGTCCGGCGCGCCAAGAGGATTGGGTACAGAATGCAGGACGCCCACATCCGTGACTGCAGGGCGCTGTACCTGGAGGGGAGGGACGAGCCAGACATCGGTGGATTCCTCAGGTCAGCATGCCACAGTATCGATAGATATTTCTATCGGATACTCCTCGGTAGGGACCAGCCAGAGAGGGCACCTGCTGTTGGACAATCAGTGGCACCTCCTGCTGCACCTCCTGGTCTGCTCCCCGCCGTGGCCCCCGCCGCTGCCCCCGCCGCTGCCCCCGCCGCGCCCCGCGCTGCGCCAAGGGCACCAAGGGCACCCAGGCCGGCGAGAGGGGAGCTGCTGCCGCGAGGGCCGAGGCCTGAGCTTCCGCACCCCCCGCCAAGGGCACAAGACGAGGATGACGGGGATGACACGAGCGACGACGTAAGTAGATATTCGCACAGAAAGCTGATTTGCTAATGAAATCACCATATTTCTTTAAAGAGTATATTTCACTATTAGCCATGCCTTTTGTTTTTTCTAGGACTTCCAACCACCTCGCCCGTTGCGTAACGCAGGGAGGCAGGAGGGGGCTCGCCGTAATCCTCCGAGACAAGGCCGCAACGAAGGTACGTTTCCAAAGTGGATCCGGCATACGCCGTGTGAGGATAGAGGTTTGTGTTTTGGTCCGTTTTATTAGAGATACTGTATCGGAGGCGTGCGGGCGGGCTTGCAAGACATTGCTCACTTATGCCTTATGGCCCCGTGTGACTATGCAACCCGTCCGCACGCCTGCATCTGGGTACGGTATCAGTTTAACAATAGACGGCGCGGATCACCCACCTTGTACCTTGGTATTAAGTAATGCCCAAGTTTATGCCTAATTTTGTTTTCAGAAGACGTGCCTCTGGCAGTCCTGCAGCGACAGCACAGGGCAAACGAAGAGCTGCAGCAAGAAGAAGGTAGTTTTTAAAGTAGATCTGTCATTTATTAGTATATTATATTTCACCGTAAAATGAAGCCTCAACTTATCCCTCCTGTCTTTTTTACAGAGGACTTGCCTTTGGCCGTCCTCCAGGAACGGCAAAGGGAAGAGGAAGAGGGTCAGCCAGAGCAAGTGGAGGAAGAGGACCAGCCAGAGCATGTGCAGGAAGAGGATCAGCCAGAGCAAGTGGAGGAAGGAGATCAGCCAGAGCAGGTGGATGAAGAGGAGCAGCAAGATCAGGAGGAACAGGAGCAGCCAGCAGAGCAGGAGGAGCCTGCTCAAGACCAGCATCTTATGGACGAATTCCGAGCTCAGCTGGTTCGGGATCTCCCGGGGGAACCGGAGGGCGGCATCCTCGTCGCCTTCCAGTTTCCCGGCCGACGAGAGAGGCAACGCTTTGGTGCGGATTGCGACGTTCGCAATCTGCACAACTTCGCCCTCACCGTGGCCTTGGAGATCTCGAAAGTGTCCAACAGCTTCCGACTTGTGTCCCCACCTGCTCAAGTCATCCCGGAGCGCGAGAAGCGCATGGACGAAGTTAGCGGCGGGTCAGCACAAGTCCTGCTACATGTACAGCCCTCACGAGGTAATTACAACTTAAAATCGCTTTCGAATGTACCTAGATGCGTGCTAGCTCTGACACAATCGTTGGTTTTCTTTCACGCAGGAGAATGCAGTGTTTGTATTGACGCCATTCAAGAACAATTCAAGGGCCGCCTCGAGCCTTGCGGCCATTCGTTCTGCATGGTGTGTGCAACGAGATTGAATGAAACTAGGCGAAAGGAGTGTGCGCTGTGCAGGGCGAAAATTACGTCTGTAAAGAGGTGGCCCAACTAGGATGTTTGTAAATTTTTACTTTGTACATTACATATTAATTAAGCGGGGGATTCTAAATATTAAGTTATTCTGCAAGTGTCAATACTTTTTAGCCCGCCCTTCTGCTTTGAAAAAGCTATCCAGCGGGCTTATGCAAACGACCTCGTGTCTGTGTGTCTGTGTGTCTGTCTGTTCCACTAGAAGGAGATGTGCTAGAGACTTCAAATTTTCAGGGTATCTTAAGGTTCACTTCTAGAAAACGAAACGCCTACGGCAAATCCTGGCAACCACCCCTAAAGGGCTAAAAGGGGGTATTAAAGAAAATGGGGTCGGTCAAAAAAGTCAGAAAAAAATATTTTTTTATGGTCTCCTAACGGGTAACTCGTCAAAGTAGAGCCGTATGGGCGAAAATTTCGTGCGTTTGGCTCTATCTCTAACCGTTTAGGCGCTGGAGGGTCTTTTTTGACGAAAATAAGCTTAAAATTGCTGTAGTTAACAATAAGTTGTAGAAGAAGGCCCAAAACCGCAAAAGAGGAAAGAAACTCCCTCCCCCCCACCCCAAAAAACGTCTTCTAAGCAGAAGGGTGGGTTGTAGTCGCGGTGCTTCACCGTTACATCCCTTT